TGCTTTTCACATGAGCTCAAATCCACCTCAGTCGAATGTAAAAACACGTATTGCAAATCAAATCAAAGTTTTTCATTAATCATTTACTATGTGACATTTTAAAATGCGCAAAAACACAGGGTGATATATTAAATTATTTTATAATCACTCTGAAATCCAAACTGTGTTTATGAATGTGTCATATTATTAACTCAAATAAAGTAACTGATTCAAAAATTAAGAGACTCTCTTCATGACTGGGTCACTGAATAACTGAATCATCACCACGGCACTAGATTGTATGACATTCCTTAAATAGCATGAAAATCTATGCCAGAAATGTAGCCTCGAAGTTCATATTCTGTTTTTTTGCAATTCAATTAAATTCATGGTTATTTCTATAGACCTTTTTCTTGGAACGCAAAATAACCATTATGCTTTGCGTGTATGCGCAAGGAGAATGCGAAGAACTTCCAGTCGGCAGCTGATGCTTGTAAACAGTCACATATGGACAGCTTTGAAACGATAGTTTTAATCTATTTTACCTGCTTTTATCCTCTTTGAACTAATACTGTTGTCCATCAGCACCATCTCCTGGACTAATCATTTAAAGAAATGCGATCTAATAGGATGGAAAACAGCTGCTGTGAGGCATTTTCCCCTCGTTGTCAGATGGCATCTTCTGCAGTTTAAATGAAGCCTTGTCATCGCTAAAGTCAACATTTTCTCTTTATTTCAAATATATAACCAGCCCAAACCAATGTAATTCACCAAAATGTTTGACACACACACACACGTAGCCTGTACTGTGCCACTGACACACTGATTTAATAACTGACAAAGTGAAAATATAGGCGAGTGTCATTTCGAAATGACAGAAAAACACAAACCGTGGTAAAAACACACGAAATAAAACACAAACGGCTTGCGATTAGAATGAACAGCAAATCAGCCAGCAGAGTATCAATAACAGACTTTTATTGGTCATTTTTGTATATTGCACAACTTTCATACCTGTTAAGTTTCATGCCAGTACTCTGGTTTGCTCTCTCTCTCTCTCTCTCTCTCTCTCTCTCTCTTTGTGTGTGTGTGTGTGTGCGTGTGTGTGTGTGTGTTAAAGAGCCGCTGAGCTAACAGCTGACAGGCCGGGAACGCACACACACACTGTATTTCTGACGGCAGACACGTGAACTAGGAGAACGTTTTTCTCGTATTTCTGATGCGCTTGAACCACATGTGACAGATTATAACGGCTTTAACAGACACATTTCTAAGTTGTGTGTCACAAAAACACTCTGTTATCCATTAAAAACGTTATTAAAACCCATTTTAGGAGCGCAAATTACCAGTTGTACACGCTGTAAACGGAAGTTTCTTGCATTCTACCGGAAGAAGCTGGTCGCTATGGCGCCCTCCATGCAGCAGCCATGAAAAAGGTCTATGGCACATTTACAATGTAGATTGTGTCAAAGCAGCTTAAGATCAGGGGCATCCAAAGTCAGTCCTGGAGGGCCGGTGTCCTGCATAGTTTAGCTCAAACTTCCCTAAGCAAACCAGACAGGAAGTTTCTAGTATAGCTAAAAAAAAGCTTGATTAGCCAACACAATCTCACACCAATTCGTAACTTTTTGATTGAGTGGCTAATTCAAATGAATTCGTAAGATCTAATTCGTACTATTTAGTACGATTTGCTCATGGCCCAATGACGGTTGGGTTTAGGCATAGGGTTAGGTGCCATGCCTCCTTTTTAAAATCGTGCAATTTGTATGACTGAACTCGTATGAATTCGTACAAATTAGCTGCTAAACTGGCAAAACGTAAAATAGTTACGTTTTCTCATGAGATCAGGCTGGAATAGCTGGTTCAGGTGTGTTTAATTGGGGTTGGAACTAAAATATGCAGGACACCTGCCCTCCAGGACCAAGTTTGGGCACCCCTGGCACAGACGTTCTAGTAAATTGAAAATGTGTCAGTCCAGTTTTCAGAGTTGAAGTTCAGTTAAGTTCAGTTCAGTGTGGTTAAAATTTCATTGCTGGAAACACTAAACAGCAAATCCGTCGATGAGCAAGTCCCAAACCAAGCAAGCCAGTGGCGACAGTGATTTTTAAATTCATTTTACTGTTATTTTAACAGCTAATTTTTCATTCAAATGGCTCTCTTTATGTCATTAACATTTAATTTCTGCACTGGCAAGTGCAGAAGCAGATCATGCCACACAGCTGAGCTCCTCACATCTCCCATTCATCATCACTGTGACCAGTAAATCAAGCAATGAGCCTTTCAAGCAGCACTTTACATAGAAGTTTTGTGTGTGGCATGATCACACCTTCCTCCAAGCTGAAAGCAAAGCCGATCATGTCTAAAGAACAACAAAGCCTATAGTTTAAAAAACAGGTCACTGATATGTTTGCTCTCTATTGAAGGTGTAGTAAAAAGATTAACCTTTTGATGACTCGGTGAACTTTGTGAATAGGCACAGCGATCGGGATATCAGGTTTGCTGATAAGGGAGCCATAAAACTAAAGAGACAGGGCTTATTTGTGTCAACTTTTCATCAGATTGTGAGATTGTATACAAAGTGGCCTTGCATCTGATTTATGCACGGCTTTCACAACAGAAAAGAAACAAAGCGAACAAGTTCCAGAGCTTTGAGGCTCAGGTGAAAGTCAAGTGCTTATTGAATCTAACAAAAGATTCTTAGTCACGCATTAATGCATTGATCAATACAGTTTCTTGGAAGATAACATTATTAGTATTAATAAGTACTACAAGCAACAAAGCACCTGATTTCCCTTGGTTTGGATTGATTTGTTTACTCTGCAGTGGTGTTATAATGTTTTTCTTGCTGACCTTTAGGGAATATTTTCATAGCATTAATATAAAGTCTTCAGAGAGTTTTTAGAGCGATTTCATATATATTTGGTTTCCAAAAAATACAATTTTCCTTAATGTGATGAACAATTTGATTATATATGTCATCTTTTTTTTTTCATTACAAAGAACATTTTAGCCTTTGGAAAAGTCCCACTGAGTGTCGTTTCGAATAGTTCAGACTGCTTGCGCACTAACAAAAAGTAAATTAAAGTTGATATCTCAATTTCATTAAGTATTTGACAACAAATATATATTTTTAAAGTTTTAAAGTTGTTTAAAATCTTACAACTGCATGTCTGATATACATCTGATATCATAACAATTAAATTAACATTTTCTTTATTTCTAAAGCACTTTTGACAATGTCAACTGTAAAATATTCATAAATTAGCAGTAGCAATTTTTTTTTTTAAATGTTTTTAATTTTTAATTTTTTCCCCTATTTATTTCTGATTTTGAATTGCATTATGAAACCCTAATCTTTCTTCCAACTACTTTTAACCTTGAAAAGTTGGAAAAAGTGACTTTTATCGAAATTTTAATATATTGTCTTAGTTTGTGTTTGAAATTATGGTACAAATTCTTAAAATAAACTGCCATTACATGTTGTGTTATTTTACAGACTTATTTGTCTATATATTGTTTCTTTGATGCAGGGCCAGACAGAATCTGCGGACATTTTTTGCTATTTCTACAGAGAATTTTGTAAAAAAAAATCTGCAGATTTATGCAGAAATATTTTGGGAGTATCATAACTAAAAACTTAATATATGACATTAAAAAGAATAGTCTTTTAACTTTTATTTAATGCACTGTAAAACTCAACAGTCAACTTTATCAAATGAAATGAGTGTAGCTAACTCAAAATTGACTGAAAGTTAATTTCTAGTTTCTAGGAGTTTTGAAATCGGTGTTGAAGGTAATGAGTTAATTAAATACCTCATTACTTCAACTTAAATGGAGTAAGTTCACAGTACTCATACACAGTTGAAGTCAGAATTATTAGCCCCCTATGAATATTTTTTCCTTTTTTTAAATGTTTACCAAATTATGTTTAACAGGGCAAGGAAATGTTCACAGTATGTCTGATAATATTTTTTTCTTCTTGAGAAAGTCTTATTTGGTTTATTTTAACTAGAATGAAAACTGCTTTTAATTTTTTAAGAGCCATTTAAAGGTCAAAATTATGTTTTAGTGCAATCGTCTCCTCAAATGGATTGAGTTACCTTGACTTTTTGGGTTGTACAGTGTGTTTATAATGCAAATCCATCTAAATCCACTTATTTGGTAAACAAGGCAAGTCTATCAAATAATATCTCAACTAAAAGACAGAAAATATACAAACATTTACAAACTGTATTATACAAAAAAAATCAAATGAACACTTTTACATTAGTCAATAATATTACTACAATGAATTTACTAACATAATTAATATAAATTGACACACATTTACACAAGTAAATAAACAGACTCATTGATGGGCTAAAAACCTGAAGAGGATTTCTGCTTGTGCAAATTCTGTGTGGGGGGGTCCGCTTATATGTTATATTATTTCAAACTACTACAATGTCAACGATGTCACTTTGTTAACCTCTAGAGTTGAATTTTCAACATCAAAAGTGGACAGATCGAGGTCTTATAATGCAATTCAAAATCGAAAATAAACGGAAACACTTATGAACACTTGTAGATTGTATCAAAGCAGCTAATATAGTTGAAGAAAAGAGAATAAAAAGTTATAATTGTTTAAATTTTGGAACTTTTTACTATCTGAGTCAAGCAGGAAAGTAACGTAGAAGGCTGGTGTAGTTGTAGTTCAATAAAACTGATACATTTCAGTTTAGCATAAATGTCACTGTTGAATATCAGCTCAGTTTATACTGATCAGTGTAATGCAAATGTCACTTCTGAAAGCCGATCCACTGAAGAGCAACTCCATCAATGTGCACCAATTTGTTTAGAATAATAAAAATACAAACAAAAATGTTCATGCATTAATGCATAAATCAAAACAGTTCCTTGAAAGATGACATTATAAGTATAATGCTACAACATCCTACAAACAACAAAGCACCTGATTTCCCTGAGTTTGGATTAATTTGTTTGCTCCGCAGTGGCATTGAAACAATGTCTGTCTCACTGACCTTTAAGGAAGCAGGGTCGGATAGAGTGAGGGCTTGTCTCCTCAGTTCAGCCACAGTCATCTGACATTGCTTGCACAGATCCGGCTTAGCGTCATCCCTGTCTGACTCCGAGACACTCACAGCTCCTGCTCCTTCAGGTGGAGGTCTGCTGGCGCACCTCTCCTCCTCCGCTGACAGTCTTTTCCTCGGGCTCAGCTCAAAAGAAAGGGAAGACTCTCCGCTTGAACAGCCTTCCACCTTTTACAAAGACAACAAAATCAAGTAATTTAACATTAAAGCTAATTCAATTTTGATAATTATTATTAAAGGGATAGTTTACCCAGAAGAAAGAACTAAAAAGAAGATGAAGAAACCTGTAATCATTTGCTTTTCCTACTATAGATTTCTGTGGTTGCAGATTTTCAGCTTTCTTCTAAATATATTATTTAGTCAGCAGAACAGGTTTGGAACAAGTAAGGGATGAGTAAATGATGACAGATTCATATTTTGGGGGTATCCCTTTATAAAAATGCTTGTACATATAACTTTAAATAAATGTTATTACAGTTCTTAATATGAATCTTAATAAGTACAAACTTGAAGTATTGAAGTACAAACGTTTTCCTGAATGTGAAGAACGATTTGATTATTTAAGTCAACTTTCTTTTTATTACAAAGATCATTTTATATTGTGGACAAGTTCCACTGATTTTTAATGAAGTTAAATTACTGAAACACTAAATAAACTTGTATTTCTAAGAGTGCGCGTGACATGAAAGCGTGATTAAACTTTCTAAATGTTTCAAGTTACTCAGTTGCACAAACTTGCCACTCCACCAGAATACTACAACCCTCAGCTGTTTATTAGAGGACTTACAGTTGATCGGATGGTCTGGAACTCTCCTTGTGCATTCCCATGCGTTAAATCCATCATCTCGGTTTAAATGGTCAAAACGCCACTGCGGACATCTAGAGGACTTTATAGCGCCTGAAATGTGTCTATGTACAATGATGAGCAACAGAGTTCATGGATAATCAGTGGGAGCGCAATGGAAAAGCATAAGCGAGTTTCCGCGAAGGTTTGCTTTGCTGTAGTTCCATGACGACGCGCGCACGCGGGAGTGAAGTTTGACTGCTGTCTGTCAGTGAGCGCGGCTCGGTCACTTGGGTGGAGGGGTGGAGCTGCAGAAGTGCTTTTATTCAAACACAACACTTAGTTGCTGTTTCGGAGTTCTGCTTGTGCACAAACAAAAAGTGAAAATAAAGTTGATATCACAATGGAATTATTTATTTAAAACAAAATTTAAAATTATTAAAAATAATAATCATAAAAGCAAATAAAGACCCTATGGAGTGTTATAAATCAATCAATCTATCTATCTATCTATCTATCTATCTATCTATCTATCTATCTATCTATCTATCTATCTATCTATCTATCTATCTATCTACTGTAGATAGATAGATAGATAGATAGATAGATAGATAGATAGATAGATAGATAGATAGATAGATAGATAGATAGATAGGTAGGTAGGTAGGTAGGTAGGTAGGTAGGTAGGTAGGTAGGTAGGTAGGTAGGTAGGTAGGTAGGTAGGTAGGTAGGTAGGTAGGTAGGTAGATAGATAGATAGATAGATAGATAGATAGATAGATAGATAGATAGATAGATAGATAGATAGATAGATAGATAGATAGATAGATAGATAGATTCGCGTTTTATTATTATTATTATTATTATTATTATCATTTTAATTATTTCTATTTCTGCTTCTTCCAGCAAAAATTACGTCATCTTTTATATTATTTCAGTTCGTTCACTTGTGTTGACTCAGATATTACTGGTCTGTTGGATATTTTACGTGTTACTCTGGCGCCACCCTCTGGATATTCCTAATTCTACCTCCAACAAACCCCTTGGTCTGAAATAAATTGTGGGAATGTCTGCATATTTAATCGTTAAATGAGTATGTTATACCGACCATGTATGCCTCGGATCACGTGAATATAAATTGTATCTCAAATACAGTCAATCTTCGCCTCAAACATTCTCATCCAGTTCTTTGTCTGTGAAAGCGCAACTAGTGTAGGCTCAAGACCAAAACCATTGATAACTGACTTAAGCACAAACCTACTAACAGAAATGTGACTCTTTATGGCCGTCTATATTATATTTATAAGGTGTAGATAGGAGATAATCTCAGACGTACTGTTTTGAAATCAATATTTGTGCATAAATGTCATTTTGTGTATTTTTATATTGATATGTTAACATATAAGTCTGGTGTTTTTGCTCGTTTTTATGTTTATAACAGAACGAGAACGCTGGATATTATTTCATCATAATTGAGTTGAACTGCTGAAATCTTGTAATAGCCGAAAAACTTTAAACCGAATACAAAGTTCACAGTCTGGTGAAATAAAGAGCTTAAGTGTAAACTGCGTGTTTTAGTGTATTGTGTGGCTACTGCGCTTTCCGGGAAGTTGCTACAGCGCAGCTGATGGAGACAGTGAGCGCTGTTCGTGGTGCTGAAATGAAAAATCGCCACCCATCATCATCATAATCAGTGATAACTTACTGTTCAAAAACTGCGAATATAAAGAGAAACAACATCTTCAAGACACCTTTAAACATCCGAGTTCATCTAAAAAATCACATTATAGCCAAGACTAAAGTACCCCTGTTTTAACCAGTCCATCCTCTGATGTCAAAGTACCTATTTGTAATACATTTCAAACAGTCTCTCCGAATATATCTTAATAATACTCCAGAATCTTTTCTGTGCTACATGTGCGGTGTAAAAATGGGCACCAGAGCCCTTAGCGAGTCAACTTGTGGAGTCTTTTGTCCACTCTCAAATTTCTTACCTTGGCTTTTCGCTTTAACAGATGACTGGTAAACCCAAAAATGATGTCAGCGTCCACGAAAAACGTCCCCAAGTCAATCAACCCGGGCTTCTGCTTGTCTGCCCCAGATGACCCGTTAGAGTTTGGTAAATCCATTGTGCGGCTGTGGGTATATTTCCTCTCCCCGTTTACAGCGCTCTGGAGTTCATTTTACAAACGGTTCCCTCTGATTCCAAATCAGTGGCATGGTGTAATCCAGAGGTTCCCTTTCAGGTACATCCAACTGTTGACTCATTTAGATTGTTCGGGTTCTATTCCAAATCACTTGGCTGGTGGAAAATCATACATCCAAATTTTGACACTCATCAAAGCACGCAAGAGCCCCATACAATCCATATATGATCCGTGCACTTCTGGCATTCATCATCCTTGTGGGAAAGGCTGTCCGCGCCGCGTCTTGGCTACACTGCAGGTCTAGGAGTGAACTCGAGCGAGCCTGTTGAGGACTACCTTGAAGAACTCCACCTCTCTCTCTCTCTCTCTCTCTCTCTCTCTCTCTCTCTCTCTCTCTCTCTCTCTCTCTCTCTCTCTCTCTCTCTCTCTCTCTCTCTCTCTCTCTCTCTACTCTGACATCCTCGTGGCTCTTGTGTGGTCGCCCTGCTGATGCTCAGCTGTGCGCGCTCCGAGATTCAGTTCCTCGCTTGCGCTGTGACGCGTAACCTTACCAGACAAGGTATTTATAAGACCTCATGTTTACTCAATGGAGTACTCTTTGTGCGACATTTTGAGATTTAAAAATTTCCGGCAATTCTTTTAGTATTGATGCTAGCTTGCAGGAGATGCCACGTTGTGGGATGCGTTTTATCTGAATAATATAAAGAATGGCTTGAAGTAATAATGTGTAAGTAAAGGGTTAGTTCACTTCAAAATAAAAACTCTTGATTTATTCACCCTCATGACAGTCTTGACTATGAAATATGTCATCCTTTAGAACAAAAAATGTGTATTTGTCATTATATTTGAGAGGCTTAATTAATTAATTAATTAACTAATTTAATAATTATTCAATCATATTTTTTAGCTTAGTCCCTTTATTAATCAGGGGTCGCCACAGCGAAAAGACACATCAAGCAAGCATGCTTGACCAAATCTGGATGATTTAAACCCTGATCAGGGTTTACATGCAAACAAAAGTTAGACTTCTTTTTTATCATTTTGTGATCATGTCTCTTCAGAAGACTTGAATTAAACTGCTCAATTCGAACAGATTTTGTTCATCTTTTTCAACCTACATATTTAGGAAACAAAGTGTCAAAGGAGGGACAGCAATTTCACACAATATGCAAAATAGGCTATACCTCTATTTGTAATACCAACATGTACAAATCTGTGATTGTCATGGGAGGGTCTGGTAAACTAAAAATCCATTTTAAAAAAATCACTTCGGACTATATTCTTTTCACTACAAATGCACAATTTGGTTTTAAAATATCAGCTGCCATCTAAAAGAAGAATGTGTGCCATTATTTTGGTTGCTTGTCTGGTTTTCGCACTCTAATTCTTTGATTAGCCAACATGTAAAAGCTGACTTTATTTAACTTTATTTATTTATTTAGGCTATTTATTTATTTATTTTTAAGCTGATTTGTTTTGTGGCGACGGAACACTCGTTTCAAAAGTTTCTATTATTTTTAAAAGCCAGATTCTTAAAAATCAAAGCGGATCCACCAAAAGGCTCCCCGCTGCGTGCTTTCTAAGCAGCCGAATGCAAACCCGGCCTGTTTCTGAGCAGCTTAAATGCGAAGCTTAACACACACTAGATAAAGTCTGTTGTTCTCTTGGCTTTGAAAGACGAACACAGGACATTACTGCATGGCCTCTTAATAAAAACTCTTATCTCGAGCATACAGAGGAGCAAGCTATAGATAAGCAGACAGGCATTATTGCAATAATATACTCGTTCCTGTAGACTCTCTTTTGAAGGAGCGGGGTTTTGTCCCTCCGATTAAAAGGGAATTAGGCGGTTGACTGTTGACAAGTATGATGTGAGCTGGAAGTGATATTGGCTCATCAACTTGGCCCAATATGCAAAGTCGTAAGTTGCATTGATAGCCATTGTGCGCGCGCTTCAGATTAGTTTTGGATGGGGAAGGGAGCCGCTCGTGCATTAGTCCTTTAGGACCTCATGATTACAATCCATTGTAAAGGTGATTTACCACGTACACAAGCTTGTCCTCTCCGGGATAGCGCAGGGGTCATCCCGACACGAAGATGAAATTCCGCGGATCAAGTCTCCCGGGAGCGCGGCTCGACATCTGCTGCCTGCGCGCGCGTACGCAAATCGCTCCGGGCTCCTCATTAGGACTGTTGAAATATCTTCAATCCTGACTCAAAATAACTGAGATGAACCGGTGGGGTGCAAGACGGGCCGTTTAGCGAATATTGCCGCTATTTAGAACGCGCTCGTGAGATCAAGAAGAAAGAAAGCGACGGACGCCTGAGAGGACTTGGATAAACAGAATAACTGATTGGATTGAACGCTCATGAATAATTTATCAATGACAGGGGACAACAAAATATGGTTCCACTGAAGCGTTCGATTGGAGCGAGTTTTTTGGAGAGAGTTATGGGTGTGTGGTGGGGGAGATTTGGGAAAATTGCACGTAGGGGACACCGGCTGCGGTTGTAACATGTTGTTTGAGCATCAATAACTCAGTGATTGTTTTCGCTAGATTTCTCAAACTGTGAAACACAGTAGACATGTTTGTCCACTACAAATGATAAACACTTGGACGTGCAGGCTGTTATATATAGTTATGTATTTTTGTAAGTTAAAGTCAAGTAAACAGAGTTTCATATAAATACTCAACAGCATGAGTGAGTTAGTGTTGCCTAAGTGGCTGAACATATAAGACCACATAATAAAGATTACACAATGAGTTCCATGCTATGAAATTTCAAGATGATGAAAGGACCAGGGCTGCGTTTCCCGATAACGATTGATCTTAGCACTTAAGAGCGTTTTCTACGAGTCATTTTGCGAACGTTCGTTATTGTTTCACGTGCGTTTCCCAAAAATGCACTTAACACAATTGCACGTAGCCCAGCTTTAAGTGCAACTTAGGAGTCGCTATCCGTTTGTTAAGTGCTGAAATGTCACGCTATAGAATGGCTCGTTATTGTTGCACATGTTATAGCAATCCATATAATTCTTCTTCTACTTGTGTGAATGTATATTCAACTCGAATAACATAAAAAAAAAATATTTTTGAGCCAGTTTAAAAACATAAATTAACTGGAAATGTCGTACTGTAAAAACACTGTCTTGCTCCAATCTCGCATAAAACTAATTCTAACAGTCCTTGCCGGAAATGACATCAGCATCATTTTCGATATTTATATGAAACCTTAATTAAGTAGAATTATTTATCAATTTCTTTATCAAAAATTGCTTATCTCACATCAAAATAAATAAATAAGTAAATAAATAAATAAATAAATAAGCTCTTACATTTATTTTTGAAAAGTTTAGCCTAATTATTAATTATTATTATTTGTATATTGAATTGTGTAATGTGTAGAAAATATAAATGAATAGAGATATACGTACAAATAAAATGAATAATGACTTTGAAGAGAAGTAAATTGTAGGTGCAATTTGCCGGTTGTCCAGCAGGTGCCCTCATAACTCTGTCTCCTTACGATGCACTTAAGGCTTTACGATTACTCCAGAGCACTCGTAGATCCACGAAGATTTTCAAGTGCTACTTAAGTTACGATGCTTTTGGGAAACAGACCGTAATATTAAGATCAGTCGTACGATCATTTCTACGAACTTCTTAGGCTTACGATGCTTTTGGGAAACGCAGCCCAGGCTGGTTTTAGAGGGGTTTTGGCCACTTCCAGGCTGGTTTCCAGCCTGACCAGCTGAAAACATTTCATTTCAGTTAGCTTTTTTTTTAGCTCAGTAATAAAACAAAGAAATAAAGTGTTAGTTTAAAATCGAAATAACAATCTCTGCCAAAGCCATTCACCCCAACCACCTCCCCATCATTCTCCCTCTGTTTTTAGATGAGTGGGTCAAATCAAAGGATTCCATTTTTGTTCTAGAGGCAGATACAGTATAACTGTGCCCAACTGAGCCTGGTTTTTCTCGTTTTTTTTTTTTTTTTTTTCACTTTCGTCAATTGGTGAAATTTGTTTCTCACCACGGTCGCAACTGGCTTGCTTGAATTGGGACTTGTGGAGCTGCGCATCAATAGATTTGATCTCAGTGTTTGATCTTTCATCAGTAAAAAAATAAACCACACTGATCTAAACTAAATTGAACTTCTATTTTGAAAACTGGACTGACACTGTTTCAATTTACTAGAACTTCTATGTTAAGCTGCTTTGACACAATCTACATTGTAAAAGAGCTATAGAAGTAAAGATTAATTGAATTGAATATATGAATATAAGTCTTTACTATATTCAAAAGACAAAAACTCCCTACACAGCCATTATTTTTAGAGAAAACTTGATATAATTCTTGTTCTTATCCAAAGCATTCATGATAGTTTACGTCTTTGAAAAATAACGGAAGGTTTGTCTTGGAGAAGCAAAATGTATACCTGCAAACCTACAATCAGACATACGCGTGGTCTAATATTTTTATCATTTGTTTTGACCTCTATATGACAAGGATTAATCTGAAGCGGTTCCACTATAATTTGCAATTCATGAGATGTTGCTCCAGTCCCCTCCTGATTACCAGACACATGCATATCGATTTGAACAACGTTTGATATGTGTACAGTGGGTGTTTAGATCTACAGCATGTTGCCCCTCTGTGTGATTTCGCTGGACTCTCTAATTAAAAGCAGGGTCACAGGTCGGTCTTTTGCCTGCTTAATGAACTGATGAAACTGTTGAGACGCGATAATTGTGCCTATTGATTTGCTTGGCAGTTTGCGCTCGTCCGCGTTTGTTTGCGCTCGTTAACCAGTCGTGCCTTCGTCAGACCTTAAGACAAAGTGTTCAATCGTATGACGAGGACATTTTAATCATGCGGCCAAACGAAAAACCAGTAAAAGCGTCAATGGCCCCGAGAGACTTCAGCACCACGGACAGCAAACACCGCTCATTCTGGTCAGTTTGATGAGTGAGTGTCTGGCGACCCTTTAGCGGTGGGTGGTGTTTTCAGGTACACGATGATAATGTTAATACTGAATATAAGAAATTACAAGTCAGTTTTAAAAAGTTGTGCAGGGTAACACAAGGGGGCACAAGAGAGACATAATACGAGTTTGTGTATAATATAAGTGCCATTAGAAATTTTCTCAGGCCTATTAAAGGTTCACTATTCCTACTTTTATGGCAAAAAAAAGAGATGGTTTTCATTCCCTTTAAAGTGAAATAGCTGCACATAAACATGTGAGGCTTATAAAAATGCTAATTTCAGAAAAAAATTTAGAGGCACTCTTTGTATCTGAACTCTTCAAATATGCATGTCCTGAATAGTTTAGCTCCAACTTTCTTCAACACACCAGCCTGGAAGTTTCAAGTATACATAGAAAGAGCTTGATTAGCTGGTTCAGGTGTGTTTAATTGGGGTTGGAACTAAAAGATGCAGGACACCAGCCCTCCAGGACTGAGTTTGGACACCCCTGTAGGCTGTATATATAGTATGTGTGTCTGTGTGAAATTAATCTGTAACACTATATAATATAATATAATTTAATATAATATAACATAATATAATTTGTGAATGGGTGTGTATGGGTGTTTCCCAGTGCTGGGTTGCAGCTGTAAGGGCATTCGTTGCATAAAACATATATGCTGGACAAGTTAGCAGTTTATTCTGCTGTGGCGGCCCCTGATTAATAAAAGGACTAAAACGAAAAGAAAATTAATGAATGAAAATATAATATAATATGCTTGATTTAATAAATATGGGTGTTTTATTGGTAAAGATGTTTTAAAAAATAATCAGAATAAAACATAATCAAACACGAAGAATAAAACAAAAATTACATTTTACACAAACACATTACTATAAATTGTAAACTCAGAGAATTCATATTTGTTTTATTTGGAAACGCTTTTTCTGTATCTTTGTCCACTGTTATGTGTAAGTGCAGTTAATTATGTGTAACTACAGTTAACTAACTCTAAACCAAACCCTGCTCTTAATCCTGACCTCATAGTCGCATGCTGTTAATTAGTATTACTCACAATTACACCCAAGAACACCAATGTCTGATGAAGTCCAGGAGACTTTACATGTTGCATTAAATAGATTTCTGAGGAACTATTGATAGTGTGCAGGATTGTTCGTTTGCTTTTTACACACCAAGACACCTTAAAATAAAAAAAACAATTCTGTTCAGAAATAGTCTGTATTTCCAATAAATATTAACTAACTTTCAAGAAATAACACTAACAATTTCATATATTTATAAATTTACATAAAAGTCGAAATAATTTTGTCTCAAATACATTTACAGATTAAATATTACTTACATAAAAAGCTAATAAAATGCATATGCATATTAAAAAAGCATACAAATGTGTTTACTTCAATATTTCGAATTGCTTTTGTGAATATCAAATATCAAAATATGATTTGCGTAGTATCCCATTATCATTCAGCATAGCACACACACACACACACACACACACACACACACACACACACACACACACACACACACACACACACACACACACACACACACACACACACTCACTCACAAAATGTATGTGTTCAAGTTTTATTTTTATTTTTATTTTTATTTATTCAACAATATTTTTGTTGACAAATGGTAACGTCTAGTGATTTATGGATTACAGGAATGTTTGTGGATTAAAGGGAATAAGAATCATTAAATGGTCTTAACATGTCATCAATTCTTGTACTAAATATGCCTGACCAAAGATCTTTGATAACTTTTTTCAGTATATTATTACACCAAATGAAATTTTTGCCAATGTCATGTGCAAATTATGGTAAAAAAATAATAAACATGTGAAAAAAAAAAAAAAAAAAACATGGTAATGTACAGGGAAAAATCAAGCAGCATTACACTTTTTTATATATTGTCCACATAATGTTAGTGCAGAAATTGGGTTTAAGGTTTCAGGATTGCTATGTTTGTACTGTATACTGAACAATGAGCATGCCCCAAAATATATCCATTGCGAGATATATAACAATAACATATGTTAATCACAAATGTTTTCCCCCCCACTGCCAAAAAATGTTAAATGTTATGTGGACATTTGACTCCAAATGAATATATTGATCACACACACACTTTTCTCATTCAGATCCATTTAAACTACATATTGACCCCCAAATACACAACAGCCATAGGTTTGACAAAAAAAAAAAAAAATCAAACTAGATCTATTTTAATCAGCAAAAAAGACCCCTTATAGGCCTAGTCCCAATGTCAAGCATTTATCTGGTAGGCAACCTTTATATAATGAAATAAATGCTAACAAAACAAGCTAACAATTGGTCACAAGCATACTGTCTTTTTTTCTGAGAATCAGAGACAGTGTCACTCTGGTCAAGTGGTCCTAAACATTTCACAATTTTGAGATAGAACTGTTGAACTGTTAAGAACCACTGCACCAGAGGGACCAGAAGAGACCCAAACACATCTGAAGTTGTCCGGATCCTCTTCACTGTTCACACTGGACATGTTCCTGGCGTCCAATAAAAACAATACGACGCCGAGCGGAAAGTCTCGCGTCTTTTTAAGAACTACGCAAACAGATGCGATACTTATTGAAGGCCTAAAAGTACCGAGACGTAAGTTCAGGCGTCAGTTCGTGTACGCAAACGAAAAACTCAAAACAGCGTTGACTGAATTTTCTAAAAGGCATTTCCTCTATCAAAACAATCTCTTCGCGAATACATATTGTGCGGAGCAGCTGTTTCACGATACCATTCCGACATTTGAGGTCCAAGATGAGGCGGGGAAAGTTCTTCTGGAGTTCTTCTGGTAGTTCTTCTGGAGGCGTCTCGGCTCGATGACAGACAACTCGGCTGTGCAGTAAGTCTTTTATACTATGTGCTGCTAGTTTCATTCACACTGGGCTTTTCATTCAGACTGGAATGACGACTCTTCAAGTCCGACCGGCTTTTCTTGGTTCCTGGGCAGAAAAGGCGAATCAGCTTTACATCTGACACGTCCGTTTTACCTCATGCACAAACGCCGCTCTTTCAAGTTTAATCAGTACATACACCGAGATTGTTTATAAGCAACATGGTCTTGACAATATAGACAGTGGCTTCAAAAAGTATTGAGACTCTTGAATGTCAATGTAATTATGAAATAAAATGAAATATGAAATTATAAAATATAAAAAAAGACAAATTAGGCTATGTATGTGCAGTTCATGGCATGCCACATCAATATTTTGTTAGCAGAAAACGTTTACATACATTTTTGTTGTTTTATAATTTTAAATATGTCAAATAAATAAATAAATAAATAAATAAATAAATGAATGAATGAATGAATGAATGAATGAATGAATGAATGAATGAATGAATGAATGAATGAATGAATAAATAAAAAAGCGGAAATGTTTTACTTTATCTCTTAAACCTAAATCATAATATAAAAATAAACTAAATCTCAGCATGCATTCAGATAATCAATAGCATAAAGCTCAGAAATGATTGAAGGAAAGCTGAAAAGTTAAATTAAGTAAAGCTTTCAGCCTGCAGTTGTTTTAATCAGAATTAGATTTCAAGGGAAAACACTGTTTAACTTTACGTCATTCATTCATTCATTCATTCATTCATTCATTCATTCATTCATTCATTCATTCATTTTCCTTTGGCCTAGCCCTAGTCCCTGGTCACACAGCGGAATAAGCCGCCAATGACTCTGACATGTTTTAAGCAGCGGATGCCCTTCCAGCCGCAATCCAGTACTGGTAAATACTTTGGTTATTAAGTTATAATATATAAATAGAATATATATAAATAGAATATTTAATTCGAATATGCAATGAAGTTTGTTTTGTGTTTGCTCAAGACACAATCGAACTGCATCGGCTCCATATGCTGAATGCTATATGTAAAAAATAAAGTCAGTCAATATTTGGTCTGTGTGCTTAAAATGCGATTTAAGTTTAAATAAAGTTTAAAGTTTAGTTTTTTTTTTTTTTTTTTACTTTTTAGCAACTAATCATATTGTTTCAACTCTGAAAATTATGTAGCAGAAGCATGCTGAAAATAAAACGTAATTACTGCAGCAACTAAAAAGAAGTAAAAAATATATACGAAATATAGACGAAATGAATAAATCGTGTGTGTTTAGATGTATGTTTTTAATATAGATTTTGAAAAATATACTGATCATCTGATTGATACTATGATTTCTTTAGTGTGAAAATCATTATGTGTTAAAATCTGATTACTTAGGGGTTTGTTTGATACTGCATGCTTGTTTCTAAATGTTAAATACATTTAGTTTAATTAAAAAACATACAATTAGATGAATGATAATAGCATGGAAGTGACAGCCAGCAGGACAACCACCTTAAGATCTTGTTGGACAAGCAATGAACTAGATAAACTAGCTGTTCTGGAGAGAGAGAGAGAGAGAGAGAGAATAGTAGCAATGGACTTATTCATTTAATCCTGCATTGTATTATTTCAAAGTAGCCAAATGTACAGAAAAAGTTATTAGTATGTATTTAAATTTGAAAAGTGATCACCAGTCAGGGGCGACACAGTGGCGCAGTAGGTAGTGTAGGTAGTGCTGTCGCCTCACAGCAGGAAGGTACCTGGGACGCTGGTTTGAGCCTCGACTGGGTCAGCGTTTCTGTGTGGAGTTTGCATGTTCTCCCTGCGTTTGTGTGGGTTTCCTCCGGGTGCTCCGGTTTCCCCCACAGTCCAAAGACATGCAGTAAATTGAGTAGACTAAAATGTCTGTCGTGTGTGTGTGTGTGTGTGTGTGTGTGTGTGTGTGTGTGTGTGTGTGTGTGTGTGTGTGTGTGTGAATGAGTGTGTTTGGATGTTTCAGCTGCGTAAAAACATGCTGGATGAGTTGGCGGTTCATTCCGCTGTGGCGATCCCGGATTAATAAAGGGACTAAGCCGAAAAGAAAATGAATGAATGGATCACCGGTCAGTGAATATGTTAGAATTCGTTTTGTTCTCAACAAATGTTCTTATTTTATTGTTTGATAGCTGCTGTAGTAAATAGATAAATTTTTTAATATAAATATGTCTGCTCATATCTGAGTTTGTCTCATAATCATCCTTCATGAAGTCCACAAAATATGTTTAAACCCATATACTAAGAGACATAAAGTTAAAGTGATGCACAGTGTTGGGGTAACGCATTTAGTAATGCGAGTTACGTCATAATATTATTTTTCTAAATATCAAGTAACGAATTACTTTAAAAAAGAGTAATAATATTTGAGTTTTAGTTTGATTAATTAGCTTTTAAAAAATAAATTGCTGAATTAAAATAATTACAATGAATCACGCAGTCAATGAGAGAATGTTTGTTATTTTGAATACATCGAAGGAAGGAAAAGGGGATATTTATCAATGGACAGTGATTTTACTTAAGACAAATAGTACAAAAGTTGCAAACACAGCTTTAAACCTTAAATAATCTGTATATACGGCATAGCTCTGGGGTCAGGAAGTTCTTAAATAACATTATCCTTAAATATATGTATTTTTGATGTGTTTTTTAAAGGTAAATGTAGGGTATACAGTGTGCTGTTAATTGCAGAGCTCCTCTATTAAAAAAAGAAAAAAAAAAAACAAGTTCTTAAAGAGATCAAGCCACAGCCAGTTAATAAAAGTAACGTAATGCATTACTTACAATAAAAAAGTACCTAAGTAACACAACTAGCAACTTTTTGGGGGAGTAACTCAATATTGCAATGCATTACTTAAGTAACTTTCCCAAACACTGGTGATAAAAGAGTGCATGGAAGTATCGCATTAGCATATTACAATCAGTTGTGGAAAGAGTACTGAAAAATCATGCTTTAGTAAAAGTACCATCACTTGCCTAAAAATGTAGTGCAAGTAGAGTAAAAGAATTTGTTGTAAATATTACTCAATGTATGAGTAAAAAGTAGCTCTTTCAAAAGTTCTCAAGCGCAGTGAGTATTAAGCAGTTAAAAACTGATGCTTTTACATGTCATTTGTGAATGTTTGTAAACGTAACATTCTGTAGTGCGTTTAGTTATTGCCTAGCAGGAACACAATGTCATAAGATGTTAATATTAGGTTAGATTTAGGTTGTGACTTCAGGTGACCGAAATTCAATGTCTAGCCAGCGTATAAGGACAATGTTATTTTGATGTCCAATAATGCTGACGATTGACGTTATAGGTTGATGTTGATGTTTGGTTAATTTCAGGTTGTATTAGAAAGTGACCAAAATCCAACATCGAGCCAACATCTTAAACTAACGTCATATTGACATCAAATACTGACATTTGTTCGTCAGGTACGGCAACCAAAATCCAGCATTTGATAGATGTCATAGTGGTAACATCCACACAACATCAAGCTGTAACACCATTAGACGTTGATATTTGGTTGGTTTTAGGTTGGACATTGACGTTGGCCTGACGTTGAGTTCTGACGTCAATCCAATTTTCATTTCTATTTCATGTAAGATTTTAAAAAAGAGGCGTGGCACCCAACTTTACCCCTAAACCTAACCGTCATTGGGTGACGAGCAAATCGTACTAAGTTGTATGAATTAGATTGTACAAATTCATACAAATTGCCCACTAAACCAAAAAGTTATGAATTGCCATGAGATAGCATTGCAATATGAGTACAGTTTATATAAAAAATAAATACAAGTCAAATATGACCCAAGTCACTAAGTTGAATTAATTATATCAATTAGCAGACTATACTAATTAGTGGAAAATTGTTTTAGAATGATTATTAGTAATAATAGACACATTGCACCTATTATCATATACTTGGACCACTATTTGCTTTTGAAGCACAATTCAGTAATTATTGCTGTAAAGATCTTTAGTGACACACTATTCACAGTTTAGATAGGCTACAAGACATTTGTTGTCGTGTTTAAAGCTGAATTCCAGAAATATCTTTGCTGTCTCAATGTACTGTAATGCTGTTTGGGAGCATTTTAAAAAGTCATGAAAGTCCCTGAATGACTGGTCAGACCTGAGTAAATGCTACAGAACAAGGGGGTGAGACGAAAGTTTCAACGGTGCTGAAAACGACTCATAAATAGTCTTTAGTATTTAGAAACTGTGAAAGCGCAAAATGTTTATCATTCATTCATTCTCTATTCAGCTTAGTCCCTTTATTAATCTGGGGTCGACACAGCGGAATGAACTGCCAACTTACTCAGCATGTTTTTTCGCAGCGGATAGCCTTCCAGCCACAACCCATCACTGGAAAACATCGATACACTCAATCAAACACATACACTAGAGACAATATAGCTTACCCAATTCACCTGTACCGCATGTCTGTGGACTTGTGGGGGAAACTGGAGCACCTGGAGGAAACATGCAAACTCCACACAGAAATGCCAACTGACCCAGCCGAGGCCTACTGCGCCACCACATCGCCAAAATGTTTATCCCATTGCAAGATTTTACTGGACCTCCTGTCACTTAA